CTCCTACACAGAAAATCATTATAGCTAACCAAAAATACATGCATGACTGTATAGATACACAACTTACCCAACAAACAATACAATAATCATAGGAACTTGCATTTTTAGGTTTTGGATTCAATACACATTTAGTGCATGCTTAATATTGCTAGGATTTGTGCTAGCTGCTTCGTATTCACTGTGTAATTGACAATATTAGCTAAATTCTCACTATAGAAAAGCATGAACCACCTACATGAAGGTAATCATACATATGCATTTCTTTTTTGCCCCTCTGAACAAAGTGAAAGTCGACCCTGACACAGGAAAGATCCTATCTATGGTCACTCAAACATTGCTGGAGTCTTAATGAGAAAGATTTTTCAGCTTCTTCAGAACTCTTTCTCCAAGCTGAGGGATTTTTTTTCCTCAGACAGTGGCAATTAGCTATTCCTGAGATAAACCAGTTTTAATTCTCATATACAGAATAAGTAATGCACAGTGTTGAGAGGAGAGAGGAGGAGGAAAATTAAGTCATTACATCGAAGTGCCATTTTATATTTTACAAAGAACTTTCTCATCTGTTCCTATTTGATTACACACTTTCTCATAGAACCAAAGAGTTTTCACTATAACAATCTTTGTAGTTGGCTATTGTTCCCTTTTTAACTGTGAGTAAACTGAGGCTCCAAGTGTATGTCACTAGCTTCAGATGATAAAACTTGTGACAGGGTACAGAATTGCTGAGTTCAGTCTATGCATTTTATTTATTTTTTAGGCTATGTTTGCTTAAAAAAAAAAGTAGTGACAGACAGCTTTATGCAAAGTGAAATAAGAATTAAGCAAACCCAGAGAAGCATTATCTTTCAATTAGACTGTGGTAACACTTAACATTTTATAGTATACTAAATACTACTCTTAAAAAGCAAATGCAGTGCCTAAGTTGTTAATGTACATCCAAGGCACAGCTTATTCATCTGGAAAGATCTAGCATTGTGTTCCTATAAATAACTTCATTATCTGTAATAGAAACTCATCTATCAGCATTCTAATTAGAATGTGACTAAGGAACTCAGTATTTAACAAGGCGTTTCTAACATTTAGTGGTTGTAATAATGGCTTTGAAATTCCAGGAAAAAGTCAGTTTTCCAAACTTCTTCTCATTTGCATATCTCTAATGCTCCATTATTCTCAGTTCCTGGATAAAATTAGTGGTATTATTCCTTAAACTATTTTTAAAAATATTATAATGGTGATAGACATTCAAAGAAACTGGAAAAACAGCAGCATAAGGGAAAAAAATCATCATATGCTCTCCCCTCAGAGAAAAAGGACTGCTCCATTTTCTGCGTATAGATAAGCATTTTTTTTTTTTACCAATTAGCATCATAATGCACATTTTATCCAATTTTGCACTTAACATATTAGGATTTCCTCTATCAGGTTTATTATATAATTTTTTGGTAGTTGCATAGTATTTTACCTTACATAAATGCCACAATTTATTTATAAATTTCCCACTATGAATATTTACTGTTTAAACTTTTTGCTTTCATGAGCAACATGGACAAAACATCCTTGTATATTAATTTCTATAGAATTCTACATCTTATTTAGAAAAAACTCCCTGAAGCAGCTTTGCTGAGTCGAAAGGTTTATAAACAATTTAAAAATGTCTTTATCAATCCTTCCTACCTGCTGATAAACTACCAGTTCTTACTCCCACCAGAGGCGTGTTCGAATGGCTTCCTTTCATGAGCAACATGGACAAAACATCCTTGTATATTAATTTCTATAGAATTCTACATCTTATTTAGAAAAAACTCCCTGAAGCAGCTTTGCTGAGTCGAAAGGTTTATAAACAATTTAAAAATGTCTTTATCAATCCTTCCTACCTGCTGATAAACTACCAGTTCTTACTCCCACCAGAGGCGTGTTCGAATGGCTTCTGCTTTACAACCTCACTAAAGCTTAGAATTAAAATGTTTTGGCCAATTGGTTGTTGGAAAATTATACTGCATTAAAGTGTGCATTTCTTTGTCATTGCTTGTTTTTAGGGATCATTTACATTTTAGTATTATTCAAGGAGAATGAGTAAGCCTGAAATCCAGCCAAAAAAATACTCTCCGCATTGCATGGGGTGCTCTAAAAATCCACATATTATCTTGGTTGATAAGCTCTTCCCTAAGTTTGCAATACAAGACCCTAGCCGATCTCTTAAAAGGTTACATTTATCTCAAAGAAACATGAGATGCTATTGTGTGTGTGCACATGTGTACATTTGTGTTAGAAATCACACTCAAGGGGGAGTGTTAGTTCTTTCTGTCACGCTTCTTCAGAATTAAATAGCTCTGATAAGAAACCGTCTGTCAAAATCAATTGTCATTTCTGAGAATAAAATTTTACACACACCAATGGCCTACCACAACAATGTACTTTTAAAGAAATGGAATTATCTAATTTTAGTTAATGACTAAATATCCATTAAAACACAAGGCTACCTCTACGGCAATCCAAGACAAACACTTTTTAACATGGTTAATTTACCACAGTGAGAAAGATAAAACAAAACAAAACAAAAAACATTTAAAGGAGGGTATGTAACCTCATATGTAATCAATTTTGGATCTGTGTTCTAGACTCAATGTTTTTAAAAAGAACTCGAGTTGATGTTGACTTAAATAGTGTTAACAGATGTGCTTGAGAAGTGTTGACATAATGAAGGAAATAGATTACAACAATTGTTTTAAAATGTGGGCTGAGCAGTCCTACAAGGTATATGATCTAACTCACTATACCCAAGGCGGCTCTGTGAAGTTTGAAAGAAATACAGAGTACAAGGAAATGAAAAATTCTGAGAGAGTGAAACTGCACGAAATTCCACATTATTAGTACTAACCACATTTCTCTTGCTGGGGTTTCTCAGCATCACTGTGGTTCCATCCATTAATCCCAGTGCTATGGAAGGAGCAGGACGTGTCCATACAAGCTGAGGCCTCACTGCCCAGACTGAGCTCCATTTCAGTTCCACTGGATTTTTTTTACCTGAATGAAAGCTATTATCTGGATTCACAATATGGCTCCAGAAAAAATATCATGTAGATTTTTTTTGTTATTCTTGCTTGGTAACTACATAACTAATGTTTTGCAGATCCCTTTGTGATTAGCATAGAACTGCAGGTTACTATATGCTTTTATGCTGGTCCATAGGCCTTTAGATGTGCAATGTGATTTTCTGTCCATCTGAGAGGATGTAAATTCTTGTTTTCTTATGACCCTGGGCCCAAATCTTGGAGCAAATTGAGAAGCATTTCTTTACTGTGAGGCAAGTGGCTACTGAAGGGGAATTCTTCAGTTTCTGAAAATGTAGGTCTTTTTCACAACCACCACAATGCTAATGTTCAAAAAACGTTCTGATTACCTATAAGTTTAGCAATAAGCATAAGCCAGTTTTATAAATTAGTGGAATCAAGCTTTAAAACCACTGAATTAGGGAATGTTAGATAGGGCTTAACTAATCTCTAAATATAAGTTTTAAATTTGTTGATACTGTAAGCAGAAACTTTGACTTGCTTCTAATCGACAGATTATGGTAAAAGTGATGGGAAGCTGCTCCCTTGGTTATGTTATATCATGTAAGACTCTGTCATGCTAGGAGACATAGTCTTAGAGTCTCCCTCTCCATTGGTGGCATTGAAGAAGCAAGCTGCCAAGGGCCCTACAACCGCAAGAAAATACATTCTGCAAACAGCCGGGGAGAGCTTGGAAGAAGTCCTCCCCCAGTTCAGTGTCCAGTTGAGATCCAAGCCCCAGCCGACACTTCAGTTGCAGTCTTACAGAGGACACAGTGAAACCATACTTGGTCACCTGACCTGCAAAAACTGTGTGATAATAAATGTGTGTGGTTTAAAACCACTAATTTTGTAGTTATTTGCTATACAGCAATAAAAAGCAGCTGTAGATTTTGGTACTAGAAGTGGGGCACTGCTGTCACAAATACCCAAATACATAGGAGTAGTTTTGGCATTCCCACATAACTGTGATTGGAAGCTGGAAAAATTCTGAGGAGCATAACAGAGAAGAAAAAGAAAGCTGAAAGTGTAAAACTTCCTTGATAATGTATAATTTTATAAAAATAAATGAGCAATTACTGCTGAGAACAGAGAAACACGAAAATATTAATTTGGTTTGAAACAGTAAACATGGGTATAACTTGATAAACACAAACTAAGCAGATCAGGCGCAGGTATCCTTGGGAGGCCGCTTAATCATTTTCCTATCAATAAAGTGTTACTTTTTCTCAACACATTTTTGATTGGCTTCAAACATAATTAAAATGATGCTTCAGTTCCTAAAATGAATACTTAATATCCACAGTAAGGTCAACTTGATAACATCTTCAGAGATAAGAGATAAGAATTTGACTCCCTCAATAAGACTAAGATATGTGGTAACAATTCTAAAATATAACAATTTTCTGAAAAAAAATTTTTTTAATTGAGTTAAAAAAATCAGAAAGATATGTAAAGCATGACATGATAGGAAATGCCATGGACATTTAGGTGTTAGGCTGGCAGCTGGTAATAGTAAGTCTTATTTTCGGTCCCTAGCATGTGAGGAGTCTGATATGGAGCTTTCAGAACATGCTGCATGGGTCTTCATAGCATATGCACCAGGAAATCTGCTCAATTCTGGAGCTGATGTGTGTGAGAGATTTGGTAGATTAAAAGTACCCAGAAACACTCTATTCTTATAAAAAATCAAAACTTTGAAAATTAGATGCTATGATAACCATTTGTTACTTTTTAAGGCCTCTGTAGGCAACCAAACATTTATATATATGTAATTTGTTCCCCATCTCCGATGCCTTAAAGAGTCCACACACTGTATACCATATATATACTTTCTGGTCTGTAAGAAGACAAGTTATCTCTACAATACAGATGAATAAGGCTTTTGATATAAAGCAAATGTTACCTCTGGGATAAACATATAAAATACTGAAATTATTACACAGAGAATTAGTTTTAAATGCATTTACCATTTTTATTTTGCTATGCAGAAACATTCATTCACCATGGGCTGTGTGATGCAGTAGACAGTGTAGTGAAGAATATATCTTTTTTGAAGGCTATTTATAACTAAACACTAAATCATTTAATTACATTGGAAATTCTGTACAGTTTAAGGCTTGGCTCTGAACTAGGTTGTAAATATGGACCAGATTTGGAAATAAAATACTTTCAAGTAAAATAAGAAAAATCGATTTCAAAATATAAGGAAGAAGAAACAAAGAAGAAAACAATAGATACTCAACAGTTTTTTTCTGGAGTGAAATCTCATAATATTGTAAACTAACAAAAATACAGATTTCCTTCCCAAAATAATGACAATTTACATATTTAGGACTTGTTAGGGAACTTTGGGAAGCTTTCCAGATTGAACGAGGACCAAAGCGGACAACAAGGAAGAAATCACATTAATATGCTAAGATCAGTGCTACCTTATAATGAATTAAATTAGATACACAAAGCAGGATTGTAAGCATTAAATATTTCCAGAGGATCAGAGAGTCATTACTGTTTATAGATGAGGAGTAATAAAACCAGATGAAACAAGTACAAGATTCAAGTTGTTTACTGAATAAACTCGGTTATTGGCACATCTAATCTGGGATAAACCTGACACACTGGACCTAGACAGCTTCTAGCATTTTAGGGTAATCTTCATTTATCTGTAAACAAAAGATCTGTCACCTAAGAAATTGCAGGGGTTTTTTGGGGTTTTTTTTTTTTAGACTTTAATAATTAATAAACTATGAAAGGCATGGAGTGTTTATGTGTTACATGAAATTACGGTTTATATTGTTGGTTATGAACGTGCAGGTATAGCTGAAAACTTAGACACTTTGTGAAAATTAAAAATGCTGCTCTTTTGTAATTTTATCGTTGCTTCATGCAATATCAGTTTAGTGATGCTGATTCGGATTGCTTTATTATGGGAAGATCTCTCTGCCAGTGTCTTTACTATTGGTCAAGGTCAGTTCTTCTGGTTTGAAAATTTCCACTGGCAGATACAAGTCAGTTGGGTTAGAAGAGGGAACTCCATATAGGCTCTGGTTTTCCAAATGGTTTGCATGACTGTATTCCTGTGCAGGCTAAGTTATTCCTGTAGAAAAGAGATTTGATCAGTTACTCATTTAAAAACATCTGAGTTTTCCTCAGATCAAGGTCACCAAAAAAGTATCTTGCAGGTTATTCACCGCACTTTTTGACAAGATACTGTAATATACCACTTTAAGTCACTGGTATGTTTTGTCTTAAATAACTACAACATCACTCAAGTGGCTGAAGCTCACTGGAGAAAATAAATTTTGCCATCTTCTAAATTACCTTATTAATTTGAATATGGTGACTGGTTTCTTAAATCAATGTTAGAGAACTAATTTCTTTCATTCATACATGTAAAGTGTTAAGAGACATCACACAGACAGACAAGTGTGCAAATAGCTCATTGGTTGCATTTAGCATTCAAAGCCCCTTGGGGATGTTCAGGCCATGAGTTCTTGCATGGCAGGTTAGTATGCGTGACAAGTCTGTACACACAGAGAAGATGCTGTCTGTTCATGATGTTGCCCAAACAGCAGCTGGAAAGGCATGCGCTTCCTGAAGGAAAGTGGGGCCACGAGACTGCAATTTTGCCTCCTCCTGAGACACAACACTACACTAGGAAAAAAACTGACCCAAAGAATACGGAAAATATAAGACATCCAAAATGAAAGGGAGTGCACAGGTTTCAATTAAAAAATAAAAAGCAAAACATAAGCATAAACAAGCTATAACCAAATACAGTTGATGAGAAAGCTTATAATGGAATGTTGCCATCAAAAGGAGAAAATTTTATTGCCCTAGTATGTGGAATACACAAATTGCACCTTTCAGAATGAAACTGCCTTCGTTTGATTAGGCCACATGACAAATAGAATCAAATTCGACCTTTCAAATTTGGTCAATGAAAAGAGTGCAGGGCATGGATTAAAAGGGAATGCCAGTGACACCATGCAAGCAAAGCCTCTGCTTTTCCTTTATCCTCTAACTGGCAGTGTATGCAAAAGTCCACAGGATGTAATCTCCAAATCTGAAACAAACCAGTACCTCCCCAACCAATTCTTCATCCTCTTGGTAACCAGCCCTGCAAATTCCGGTGAGAGAAAAAAGGAAAGGGTGGAGTCAGGTGAAGTATGAGAGGAAAGCATCCCATGCCACATGCCAGCCGAGGCCAAGCCTGGAGAATCAGCATCACCTCTTACCTGGGATCAATCCTCTCCATCTTCCGGTGTGATCTCTGTCTCTTTATGGACCACTACTTTGGTCACTGACATGTCAGGGTGCTGCTCTTTGGCCTCTTTAATTGCCTGAGCCAGCGCCTATCCCCAGGAAATCACAGAAGGGCAAAGACAAAAAGGAGGTGGAACATGCATGATCAGTAGCAAGGTGGAGACTTATGAGCTAGATCTAGATTCACAATTTACAAATGAGGTACAACGATTGAAAAAGAAATTGTACATTGTATACTGAAAAGTTAATTCAGAAAACTGTTTAGATTACATGCTGGACTAGAAAGACAGCACTGGGAAAAGTAGGGCCAACGAGAGTTTGCCTCTCGGGCAGAGTATGCACCGTCTCGCACACCCTACCTGGTCATGGTCAATGTCCGCATCACCCGTGATTACTATTCGCTTCTCAATTCTCGTCTCTGAAATGCCTCCTTTCACAGTCTGAAGGAACATGCAAGCATTATGAGTTTGCCCAGTTGGAGGAACAATCATTGTTCAATGGGGAAAATGAGAGAAAATGCTGACGGTTTTCAGTAACATCGTTCTTTTTTTCCTCTAATTTTTCAATTACAGTTGACATACAATATTATATTAGTTTCAGTTGTATAAGACAGTGATTAGACATTTACATAATTTATGAACTTATTGCCCCAATAAGTCTAGTATCCATCTGATACCATACATAGTTATTACAATATCATTCATTCTTTAAGAATTGAAACAGAATTCTGTGGGTTATTTTAAATCGCTTATTTCAGAGGCGAGGCTAGAATAGAGACCTTTGGATTTGGCTAGCCAATATTTCTGGAACATACATGTCAAGCATTACAGTTAAGTGTTAAGCAAAGGGTATCAGAATGTATATTCCTAAGCAGAAACTAGCGCATGAGGATAAATGCATCATAAATATAGTAGTTGTGAAAGCTCTAATGCAGCTATCCTGTCATCCTGATAGTCACATAACTATTTGTTATGCAGCCCAACCTGGAAGAAGGCCTTACTTTTTATCAGTTCTCGTTCCACTTACTTTGGTGATGTGGGTGGTGGTCGTGGTACTGGTGGTCTCAGATGTGATTGTCTGTGCACTCATTAGCACGCCTGGCTCCAAATCAGCACCAGGATCAACCTAAGCAAGCAAAGGAATAGACACCTCACTCAAATATTTACATCATCTCTTCAGATGTTTGCTATGTTAGTTTAGTTCATTATAATGATTTAGTTATTTCCCATAATCACCGTGCTATTCAGTCAGCATCTGGGAGCTACTGCCATAAGACTGAATCAAACATAGCCAGAGTTAACCATCACTAATAACACTGGGACTTAAGAAATGTCAGCAGTGGCTGATGGAGCTAATATTTTTCCTATATCTATCGCTAGGGAAATAGGTTTCTGAGCCTTTTTCTACCTTTTGAGATATATGAAGACTGGCTTAAACTATTTGCTACTACACAGTCAGAAATAAAATTATAATTATTGCATCACTCTTGACAGAGACAGTCTGGCTGCTGGATCCTCTGAGTCTCACAAATTAAAAATCACGTAGTTATAGTTAAATGCGCTAAGCCACTAATGGGGTAAAACAAAGTGCCAGGGCTCTGGTCTTTGCGATGATCTTACCTGTGATGATTCATACGTTATGGTTTTGGTTTCTGTGTGAACGACTGGCAATTCCTTGGTAGAAATTTCTAGTTTTACTCCTCCTGGTGAAACACTGCCAAAACTGATGGTTTCTGTCTTCACAGTAGATGACTATACCGGTGGGAAGTAGGTAGAGCGGCTATTAGAGTTTGCACAAACACAGTTTTGCTTTATTTCCTCCCCACTTGGTGTATATATAACAGCACAGGTTAGTATGAAATAAATGCTTACATAGTCTGTGAGGGGTAAGTTGGGGAGTGAGGCACACAACAGATACATGTCCAGCGGCCTCCCAGAATTCCACAGTGTTTTTAAATGGAATGTTCCAGGCAAAGGAAAACATTTTGAAGGAAATAAACTATTTTTACATCTCCCCTTCTCTATCTCATAAACGAATCTTAACAGGCTAAAAATCATTTATTTAATAACTTCTTACAAAGAAGAAACAAGTAATAAGAAATGAACCTTTCCCAATCCCAAATACTTCAAGAATCTCAATAAAAGAGGATAAAGAATAAAGTTCTGGCATTTGGTACCTGTACAAGCATGGTTTTTGGTTCTTCTGGATAAGTACACTGATCAGAAATAAATTTATCAAATTTTCTAATATCTTGGCCGGACATGCATTGCCCAGGTTTACTGCCAATTACAATAATTACAATGAGAGTAGAAACCACTTCCTGGAACTATACATTATTAAGAATCATCATATATGTTTGCATGTGACCCAAAAGATGGAAACCAGCATGGAGACCCAGAATTGCCATGCAAGATGGAAATAAGAGGAAAACAAACTGCACTTGGAAAAAGTAGAAAATTAAACTTAGCTCTATCTTTATATTTAACTAAATTTTAAGAACTCATATATCTGCTTAATTTAGTGCTAAAAGTAATATTAACTACTTAGTTACCTCAAAATGAGGTTTTTGTTCCAAAGTTTCAGAAACGTGGATTGCTATACTTTGCTCCTCCTCTGGCTCATGAGAAGCAGTGGCCATTTCTTCCTGTTCGAGTACAGCTTTATCGGCCACCTCTCCTTTTTCCTCTTTAGACCCGTCCGTCAGAGCAGAGCCCTCCTTCCCTTTAACGCTAGAAGCATCAGCAGATGCTGCCTGTGCTGCAGCATCCACATCGTCTCCAGCAATGTAAGAAGCATCCCCACTTGCATGCACACTCATCACATGTCTTTCTTCCACCAACACAGTTTCCTGCACAACCTTCTCAGTGCTAAGTGGCTGGGAGTGTTGGGTTGTTTCGGTGTCTGTTACGCTGGACTCAGTCTTGGTTTCTGTTTTCTGTGTGGGAAAAGATTGTGGAGTCAGTGTGAATTTCCATAAACCAAAGGTCAAAAAACAGAAAAAAAAAAAACCAATAAAACCTCACAAAAGATGTCACTCACCAGGATGCCTAAAGCCAGTGCCATGGGCATATAACCAGAAACACTTACAGAAAACATAAATTAGCTTTCATTCTTCCCACCAGAATCTTTGATGTTTTCTCTCTGCTGCTATGAGATATCCGCAAAAAAACAAATGAACTACCCCTGCCCCCGACAAAAACCAGAATGCAGTATAAAATGCAATTAAAAACAAAACGAAACAAAAGCACATTCATATTGGCTTTGGCTGCTTTCTTAGGCCTAATAGGTGACATGAGATACTTTAAAAAATTAAATGCTATTAAAATTTCTCAGATTGCCTTTTGAATATCTGAAGTATGTTCTTATAATGGAACTAAAGGCATATGACAGATATGCCAAGCAGACACAAAGAAAAAGAACTGAAGGCACCTTTGAGGTATTTAAGGCAAAGCGCGCGCACGCGCACACGCGCACACAAGGCATCAAGCTATAAATAAAAGCAAATAGGCAGAGTCAGGAACATCAAGGATGGAATCGAAAGGCCACCTGAACCCAGCTTTGAGAAGAAGAAGTAACCCCTCCTATGAATTCTGTTGGTTTTTTCGCAGACTCTAATAAACTGAAGATTTCAGAGCCATCCATGAGCTTTTCACCAGAAGGCTGCTTAGTCTGAGTGAACAAAGAAATGGAGAGTCAAGCACAGAAACAGTACATACGCAGGCGCATACACATTCACAGCTGGTTAGACAAAATTGTAGGCAGAGGAGAGAGGGAGGAAGGATAAAGGAATCTACTATACAGACTTTGTCAACTGAAAAGAATGAGAAATAAAATAGCAAATTGAGGTGACCATGAGCTCTGGTTTGGTAAAAGCGGAGAGAGTTAATTAGGATTAGGGCAGTGCTCGTTTAAGCAGATCATTTTTTCCCTTCATTGCAAGCCACAGCCGCACTATCACATCTTGGGAACGGGGGAGCTGGAAATAAAACAAAGTGTTTCAATGCTCGCCGGACTGCGGTATTAATTTAACCATGAAAAAAATTAAAAAGCTCGGGTTGGCTGCTCTGAACATAAAGCCAAACAGCGAGAGAAACGGAAAGGTTCAGGGTGGAAGGGCGCTGCCTCAAAACGCCATGCTGGAATCTGAAACGGCGGCCCAAATGAAAGGCACTGGTTACCACGACTCGAGACGCGGGCGACTCGGAAAGGTAATGAGCAGTAGCGATGGTGAAGGCAGGTTCCTGGGAGTACCTCCACTCAGACAGACTCTTCCTTCTGGGCCCAAAGAGCCCCACTTTTAAGGCCTCACCCTCCGGGGCTTGCTCGGTTTTGCTGAA